TGAGCTTAGTGAAGCAGGGCTGTTTCTATGAGGGGACCCTGAAGCAGAAGCAGTGCGTGAAGTGCAGAACGTCTTTTTATGTGTGGTTGTGTGAGCTTGCAGTTCCCTGCCACCTCTGCCTAAGCTGTGCTGGAGCAAGAAGGGCTGAGATGTGATAGGGAACCGACGAGCTGGCTGGGATAGCGATTAGCGAGCGCGTTACCTCCAGCACTCTGCGGCCGGGCAGGGTTCTCCTGTGAAACCACACGTACTGAGCCAGCACCACGGCGCAGGGCCACGCGTACATGCCATACTGCGGGTCCAGCACCTGAAACACACGGCTGTGCTGCTGTGACTCCGTGCCCAGGCGCTCTCTGCCCCCCCACCCTCGGGCCGTACCTCGGGGACGCGCACCGCCAGCACCGCGCGCTCCTCTCCTCCCGCCGCGTCCCCCACGAAGCGGTACCGCCGCACGGCGCGCCGCGGCTCCCCCATGCCCGCGCCTCGCAGGCGGCCAATCGCAGGCGGCAGCGTGTGGCGCCAGGTCCCGACGGCCAATCAGAGCTTTCTCCCGAAGTGACGTCACGCGGAGCGCCGCGGGGCCCTCCGGGAACCTCTCGGTGCCTCACGCCGTGTCCGCGCCGGGTTTCCGCAAGCCGCCGCGCCGCCCTTCCCAACATGGCGGCCGCGCCGCTTCCCCCCTTTGTCCAATCGGCGCCCGGAGGCGGGCACGGCGCGGCGGAAGGCGGCCGGGAGGAGCGCCAATGGGAGCACGGCGGGGGCGGGGCTGCGGCGGCGGCGGCGGCAAGGGGGTGAAATTTCTCGAAGGTGCGGCGGGGCCGGGGAGCGGGACGTGGGTCGGGAGCGGCGGGTCTTCAACGCCGCCATGAATCACAAGAGCAAGAAACGGATCCGCGAGGCGAAGCGCAGCGCCCGGCCCGAGCTGAAGGACTCGTTGGATTGGACCCGTCACAACTACTGCGAGACCTTCCCGCTCAGCCCTGCTGCGTGCAAGGTGCGGCACCGAGCGGGGTGTGAGGGGAAACGGGAGCTGTGAGGGCGGGGGGGGGGATCGGGGGGTGTGAGGTTAGGGCTGGGTTAGGATTGAGAGAGGGGCTGTGGGGAACGGGGGAGGCGTGAGGGAAGCGGGGCGGCCCGGAGGGGACGGAAGGGCTGAGGGGAACGGGGGGGTCGGGGGAAACAGGGGGGTCGGGGGGGGGCTGAGGAGAACGGGAGAGCTGAGGGGAGTGAGGTGAGGCTGAGGGATGGAGGGGTGTGGGGAGGGTCTGTGCGGAGCCGAGGCTGGGCGGCAGCCGGGTGGACAGGGGTGTTCTCGCCGTGCTGGGGATGGTGCCAAACGCGGCCCGAGCCGGGCGGTGTGACCGCTGAGAGCCGGGCGCCAGAATTAGGGCTGCACCCTCAGGGAGCTTAAAATAAGGCGCAGGCGGTCTGACAGCCTCGCGGTGTGCGGAGCAGAGCCCGAGCGTGCAGAGCCTCCGTGCTGCTTTAGAGCACCTGGGACGTTTGTGCTAACAGCTGCTCTGTGCTCCTCTCTTGGTTTCGCAGGATAACGTGGAGCGGGCGGATGCACTGCAGCTCACCGTGGAGGAGTTTGTGGAGCGTTACGAAAAGCCGTACAAACCCGTGGTCCTGCTGAACGCCCAGGTGGGCTGGTCTGCACAGGAGAAATGGACTCTGGAGCGGCTGAAACGCAAGTACAGGAACCAGAAGTTCAAATGCGGGGAGGACAACGACGGTTATTCAGTGAAGATGAAGATGAAATACTACATCGAGTACATGGAGACCACGCGTGATGACAGCCCGCTGTACATATTTGACAGCAGTTATGGAGAGCATCCCAAGCGCAGGAAACTCCTGGAGGACTACAAAGTACCCAAGTTCTTCACTGATGATCTGTTTCAGTATGCGGGGGAGAAACGAAGGCCGCCTTACAGGTATGGCAGAGTGGCAGCTGAGGTTCCTTCCTGTGCCTCTGGTTATTCTGAAGTAAAATCGCTTTGTGTAAAGTGAAGCAGTAGCTTTGTGTTTGCTGTTCTGAAGTGCTTATAAGCCTTCAATGCACAAGAAGGGAAGAACAGATTTGTGAATCAGGATTTCTCGTTCTGTCACCAATCTATTTACCAGTTGGTTTCTTAATTTTTCTTCCACGAATAAATGCCAAGTGCTTGAAAGTTACCAAGATGAATTTCTTGCTGTGTGAAGTGCCTTCTGGCCTTCAGATTCAAAATGCCTCAAGATTTGCTCTTGGTTTCTTCTGGCTTATGTACAATGCAGGGCTTCATTTAATTATGGGTCAGTGCTTGTAAGGTGAAGATCTTAAACAGACTACTTTGAAGAGTGGAGATTACTTCTTAGCTGCCCTTCAGATGATGATGATACTGCATAATGTTTTTGCATGTATTTAGTCTTCAAACTTTTTTTTTTCCTATCTGATTAGAAGGCGAAGGAAATTGCATTTGATTACTGAAATGAAATGCACCAACCTTACATATTGGCTCCTAGGTACAAAGTAATTTCCATTTGCATTAATACAATGCTTTCTAGTGCTATGAGAATAAGTTGTAATTAAAGTCTTTACAGCCACATGATAATTGCTAGAGAATGACTTGCCCTCTGAGTGACGTGAGGTCCTGGTGTGGGTTGGTATTTTTAATGAAATAGGGCAAATATTGAACGAGGTACTAACAAATAATAGCTCAGTTGTGTTTTTCAGGCTTTTGTTTTTACAAAGTTGCAGGAGGAACTTTTTCTCATTGACTTCTAAGGGCATACAGTGCTGTGCTCAAATGTGAAAGCACAGTGCGTGCGGTCCCTGTAAGTCTCCAGCAGTAACTGAGGTACAGTGACAGAACTCCATCAAAGTTCCAAGTGATGGAGACCCCCCAGCTGTGACTCACACTGATACTTCTCTCCCCTGCACCCTCCACGCCCACAGGCATGAGCTGAACTCCTTGCTTGTGATGGAAGCATTCTTGCACTTTGTTCTGGAAAAAGTGGGTTGGTTTGAGGCTGTTCTCATTTTTCTGAGTGGTGTGAAAGGGCACAGCTACAGCCCTCACCTGGAGTTTGTATCTCTAAGAAAACATGGATGGAGAGCATTCAGCAGTTTAATGGCTTAGTGAAAATTCAACCAGGTGCTGTACTTCCTCATCATAAGAGGAAGATGTGCATGTCTTCTTATTGACGGCTGCTTAACGAAGTAGGAAGCCATTCAAAATGCAGTCATTGCTGCTAGCGTGCAGTGATTGGAAACCAGCTTAATTCACACCTGAGTTGGGAAGGGGAGCTGGAGAGTTTTGTGACTTGAGATGCTGTGACCCCTGGAGCTCCTCTTGTTGGTACCACAGCCTCGGGGGTCTGGATGGAAGAAGGCTCACGTTCATGCTGCTTTAGTTTCTTCCATCTAAGCAGATATTGTCCTTTCCTTCTGCTTTGTGGCAATAAGCCTCCTGATTCAGTTTGTTCTATCTGCTGTAATAGTGCTCTTGTGCTGCTGTGTTTAAACATCTGTGGCAGCTAAACTTTTCCATCAGAAGAAGTGAGCTTTACAAATCGGGAATGAGAACATCCACACCAAATCTTGACCAGAGAATAATCCCCAGCTACTTCAATATTGGAATAAAAAGCCTGTTGTAAATGAACAGAAGGCATAGAAGGAAGCCAGGGTTGCATAACTTCACTCTGTTCCTTACTTGTATTGCCTTTTGTTAGTTCCTCATTGTTCTGTGCCTCTGGGTTCCATTTATGAGTAGCAAGTTTTAGAAATGGAGAAGATTAGCAGAATCCTCCTGCATGATGAGAGCCCTGGTGCAGAGCATTGTGCCTTTATTGCATTCATAAACACTGCTGCAGAAATGGGAGTGCTTCTACCTTGAGGTCAGTACATGTATGAAAAGAACTGTTTCTATTTCATAGCTGTGTTTTGTTTTTAAAAGCTGTCTTCACTGTCCTGGCTCGCAGTCCTTCCTGTCACAGTTGGTGTTGGTTTTTAGGTTAAACCCACATCGCATCATTTGAGGATAAGTGGAGAAAGGAATCAAGGGGACTCCTTTGGTTTCTAACCGTATGCTGAATTAACAGCTATAACTCTGTGTGTGAGGAGAGGAGAAAGCAGCTACTGCTTGCTCTGCGACTGAAGGGTTGTGGCTTTTTTCCTGCAGATGGTTTGTGATGGGCCCGCCTCGTTCTGGAACAGGAATTCACATCGACCCCTTGGGAACCAGCGCCTGGAACGCCTTGGTGCAGGGACACAAGCGATGGTGCCTCTTCCCCACCAGCACTCCCAGAGAGCTGATCAAAGTGACGCGGGAGGAGGGAGGCAACCAGCAGGACGAGGCCATCACGTGGTTCAACGTCATCTACCCCAGGACGCAGCTTCCCACCTGGCCTCCTGAATTCAAACCCCTGGAGATCTTGCAGAAGCCAGGAGAGACTGTTTTTGTACCAGGTACGTAGAAATGGCTCCTGAAAGCAGATGTGGCAGAGAGAACTGGGTTTTTAACTTGTCTTGAGAAAGAAAGAGTGTTTCAGATTTCTTGCAGCTCATTTCTTGCAAAGGAAACTACTCTGGGCTGTTTCAGAAGGGCTGTGTGTTGTGAGGCTTTCTCTGCACTGCTCAGTTATTTCTGACTGCCCTGACATACAAACGGCCTGCAGTGTAGGATTGCATGTGGTGTGGGTGGCAAAACAAGTCAGACTTGCGTTGCACATTCGTAGGACTGTGATCCTATTAATAGGAAAACACTGAGACGTAAAAATAGAGAAAGCTGAGTATTTGAGTATTAGTAACTCTCAGACCCCAAAATGTTGGAGTTTATAAACACCACAGCATGATCACCACTGGATTTTGTAGCTTAGGCAGTCTGACTGCACGTGGATTTGTCTTGGCTGGAGGAAATACTTAAAGTCACTGATGCATTCCACCCACTTTTCCGTGGTTATGCTTAATCTCAAAATCAAAAGCTAAAGGAAGATGGGAATGGCATCCTTCTATCAGAAGATGGTTGTGCAACGTGTGCCTGCTGTAACTGGGAGCTGAGGTGGCAGTGGGTGGCGTTGTGTGGGTGAGCTCAGTGCCTGCAGTCTGACCTCTGGATCTTGCATCACGGCACGGAGCTGCCATCCACGTTGCCTGTGTTGCACAGCAGATTTCATGTCTGAGGAGTGCCTTGTGACTGCCTTGGCACTTAGTAGTGACTCCTCTCCCCTCTGTTAGGATTTTGTAGCTGTCAATTTCCATTAAACTGTTTCTTTGTTCTTTTTTGGAGGTTTTAAGTGGGTGAGAAGAACATGGCTGTCTATTCTTAGTCTGTGCAGGGAAACAATTTGCATCTATTTTTAAGTGAAAGGCTGGCCTGTAATCACAAGAACCTTGCTAATTCAGCGTGGAAAGTGTGCTCAGCTTGACAGAGGGTCTCTGTGCAGCTTGGGCTACAAAGGCTCGTGCTGTTAGATAGGCTGTCAGTAGGCAGCGTGCTGCTGTCAGCTCAGATCTTCAGTCACTGCCTGTGAGGTGGATAATTTGGCCAGAGCCATTGTGCAGCCTTCTGTAATGAGAACCTGCAGAGGAGCGGAATGAATTGTGAACTAAGGCTGAGGAAAGAAGATCTGGTGGGAGGCTCACCTGGGTTCGGGAGGCAGGGTCTGGTTTCTGCCTCTGCTGCAGGACAGAGAT